TGTACTTGGAATTAAACTCAGGACCTTGTGCTTGTCAGGTAAGCTCTTACTCTACTGAGCTATCTCCCTGGCCCCTGTATATTCTTTTTAACCCTTATAATCTTATGGTGTTGTCATACCTAGCTCTTATATTAAATGCAAAGTTAGAGAAGTTGACAGAACTTATGCCAATGAAGAGGTAGATAATAGGACTGGGGTTCAAACTCAAGTTCATCAGACACCCAAGTTCATTATGTCGACTTTTGGTCTTTTTCTTCCTCAAGAGTCCTGACACCAAGAAGGGCTCTAAAATCTTGAAACTTTGAGAATCTAACTTGCCTAGGGTCCTCCTGCTCTTGTGCCTAACACGTCCTTTTATCCCAGGGAGTTGATCATGGAATGTAAGGACCATGAACTCATACCTGAGAGCCAGCGATTGTCATCTGCAGACTCCCCACCCCATCATGCGAGGGATTCCCTGCTTAGTCCTCTACTTCTAGCCATTTTCTGGGATCTGCTGGGTTAATTCTCTGGGTCACACTGGCCAAAGTCTTCTCAGGTGTGTCCCTCTGAACCTCAGACCCTCTCTTGCCCCACCCTTCTGGCACAGCACCCAGAGTGCATGCCAAGAAACTGGCAGGAGAGATAGAACAGGTCAGTCTGTCCCCTTCTCATCCTTGTCCCCCATATTTCATAGGTTAGACTGGTCCCAAAGCTCCAATAGAACAGGCATCCAGGACCAGACCAAGGAAAAAGAAAAAGGACCTAAATCCACTTTGCAAATTAAGAAACAACAGAGGGCTCCTATAACCCCAGCACTCAGGGAGGTTGAAGCAGGAGGATAGCAAGTACAAGTTCCACATGGACAACTTAGTGAAACAATGTAAAAAATAGAAAGGATTGGTGATATAACTCAGAGGTAGAGTGCTGGAAAAAAAAAAAACAAAACAAAACTTCTTAGTGCACTACCATCTTTGTAATAGATTAGGCTCACAGTTAGTGGGATTTTTAATTTCCAATACTCAGGATTGAACTCAAGTGGGCTCTACACTGAGCTACATCACCAGCCATTTTTATTTTTGCTGGGATTATAGACATGTACCGCTACACCTGGCTTACATGGAACTACATATAATTTCTTTTTTTTTTTTTTAAAGAGTGATCATTTTTTTTTAAATTTTATTTATTTATGTGTGTGTGTGTGTGTGTGTGTGTGTGGCCAGCTCAGCCCACCAGGGGGCGGGGCTGGCTGGCATGTGGTGCTGGGGGATTGAACTGTGGTCCCTGTGCTTTGTTAAGCTTGTTCTAAGTAGGTGCTTTAGACCACTGAGCCATCTCACCAGCCCCATGATTCTTTTTTTTCCCATAAATCTTTATTCATTGATTGCTTGATTGTGGTGGCACTCCACCCCAGGTCTTTATACTTGCTGGGTAACTACTGTTCTATTGGGCCATTCTGCCAGGCTTTCATTCTTATTTCTTTCTCTGGAAAAAAAAAAAACAAAACAAAACTTCTTAGTGCACTACCATCTTTGTAATAGATTAGGCTCACAGTTAGTGGGATTTTTAATTTCCAATACTCAGGATTGAACTCAAGTGGGCTCTACACTGAGCTACATCACCAGCCATTTTTATTTTTGCTGGGATTATAGACATGTACCGCTACACCTGGCTTACATGGAACTACATATAATTTCTTTTTTTTTTTTTTAAAGAGTGATCATTTTTTTTTAAATTTTATTTATTTATGTGTGTGTGTGTGTGTGTGTGTGTGTGGCCAGCTCAGCCCACCAGGGGGCGGGGCTGGCTGGCATGTGGTGCTGGGGGATTGAACTGTGGTCCCTGTGCTTTGTTAAGCTTGTTCTAAGTAGGTGCTTTAGACCACTGAGCCATCTCACCAGCCCCACATATAATTTCTTTTGGAAGCTGCTTCATTTCTTTGGCCGGGGTCAGGGGAGTGGGGTGTGGGGGACTGTTGCTGGATTTCTTTCACAGTTTTAGCCTCTTGCTTTCTTTGGGAGCTTGTCTTCTGGTTTCAGAAAAGAGCTTGGACTTCCCAGTGCGGAAGATGAGCTTTGAAAGCTCACCTCCTCCTCCTCCTCCAGGCCACAGTGTGATCTGTACGAGCTACTTGGCACTGCTGATGCTGCGGATGTTTTCCTGTGTAAAATGGGGAGAAAAATGTCTATTTCAAGAAATGCTTGGGGGCCGGGGAGACAGCTCAGCAACGTAAGCACCTGCCTGGCAAGTGCAAGGTCCTGAGTTTGATCCCTGGTATCGGAAAAAAAAAAAAAAAAAAAAAAAAAAATCCTTGTGACATAGTGAGACTCTTTCTCAAAAAAAAAAAAAAGGCTTGTAATGAAAGCACAGCTGGCTGTGGGTCCTCACAGGCTACCCTGTGGGTCCAGGCTGGTATTTAGGAAACATCAATGTCCCGCCTTTCCCAAACTTTGCAGGGGGTCTAGCTGGCATACAGGGAACTCCAGTCTCTCTCTCTCTCTCTCTCTCTCTCTCTCTCTCT